TATGACGCGTCCATCCACGACGGCACATCTGCCGACGCCGCGCACTCGGCCACGATCCTCGCCCCGTTCGGCGCGTCGTCACCGGCCGCGCTCGCCATGTCGTCGGTGGCAAGCAGGACTACCGAGTGCTGCGCCGCGCAGAGGCCGAGCCCAGCCACCGCCGCCATCGCGTTGGCGCCAAACCTCTCCGCCGCCCGATCCAGCGCCAGAACAAGACCGTCGACATACATGGCTAGCGGAGCAGAGACGCGGCCGTCATCAAAGGTATGGACTCCGCCGTAGGTCCCATACTGAGGCAGATCGTCGTCGAACCGCACCGACGCCGTCGCCGCCACATGGCCGTCATCCGTGCACGCCGCAACCTTGATCCCAGTCGTCGACACATCAATGCCTAGATACAGATCGTCTCCGACTCTTTCACTAGCCATCACCGCCCCCACCACCGGACACGTCCTGCTAGGTTGGGTCGAGACGAGTCTGTACGTCAGGCTCTGGATCCAGGTTGGGGGCGAAACTCGGCGGAGCGTTCCCGCCCAGATCCGCTGAGATGATCACCACATCAATCCTCTTGCAAGCTTTGTAGTCGACTACATCGGCAATCCCTCTCCTCCCACCGCACTGCTACCACGTTTTGGGTTCTTTCTCTACCGCAGACGCTCACGCACAACGCGAAGGAGCACGTCGAACTGCCTTGAACCGACGCGTGCACGGACGACCGTGTCGACTTCGACACCAAGCTCACGTGCGTGGTTGATGACTCCGGTAGCGAGCACAGCAACGTTGATGGCGTCATTGTCTGCGATAAGCCTGGTGCGAGTGCTGTTGACACTGTTGGCGCTGGTGCGCGAGACGAGGAAGAAGCTGCCACTCCACCGACGGTCCGCCGATGTCAAGCAGGGGGCGAAGGTACTCGGGCTCGATGAAGAGCGGCAGCAGGGCAACGTCGGTGCACCAAGCTGGCTCACCGATGTCGTACACTCTAATGTACATGCGAAGCAGTGCATTAGCGGAGGATGATCTCGGCCGTTTGGCGACGGCGCGGTGCGTGACGTCGCCAACGTGAGGGAGTGCGTCGAGGCGGAGGGAATCGCACAGGAGTATCATGCACTCATCTCGGAGCGCGACAGCTCGAGAGACAGCTCGAAGCAGCGGAAATGGCCGCAAGCATGTCGACGGTGGCGAAAAGGGGCATGAAGACCATGGGTGAGGCGTTTGCTGCCTTTGGCGAGGGTGTGGGTGTGCGCATTGGTGGAGAGGGTGAAGGCGTATGCTGCGAGGCACCTGGGCTCGTCGGCGCAGTGGTGACCCAGATCGACAACGCAGACTTTTTCTCATCGGCAGTTTGGCCTGATCCGAGTCGACCTCTGCCACAACGTGGCTCAGAGTCCGAGTCAGGGTGCGAGCCGGCGCTGATCTGGATCTGGGCGCCGTCGCAAGAGGCCGAGATCGAATGTGGTGTGATCGCTGTTGGGCGGATCGAACTGGTCGAGTACGCCATGCCGTGCATGGCTCTGGATCTTCACAAAGCTGGCGCATTGGCTGGGCTGGAGGCTTGGACATCGGATGATGTGAAGGTGACAAGGCCGAGCATGGCCGAGGTTGGCACGCTCTGCGCAACAGCTTACGACGATCCGGCGTTTGAAGCCGTCCTCGCAGCGATGCCGGCCGAGACCGCGGCGACCGCATTTGGCGTGGTGCGGGAGGGAGCATTTGTGAGCGTGATGGTGACGGTTGCTCACGATGGCGACGTCGGCATCTACTGCATGGCAACTGCGGCAGAATGGCGGCGGCGTGGGCTGGCGAGGGCGATGCTCGCGTCGGTGCTGGTGGAGGCAGCTGGCGCCGGAGCCGAGACGGCGTCGCTGCAGAGCTCGCCCGACGGCGCGGGCCTCTACTCCTCGCTTGGATTTGTAGACGCTGGCGTGGCGCGGTGCTTTGCGCGGGCATAACTTCTGTTTATGCAGCCCAGAGCGATGCTGGCGTCAACCAGGCTGATCGACACGAGGAGCCGGTCGAGCGGCCCGACAAAGTCGAGCTTCGACTTTATCTTACCGGTCGGGGAGGTATCGTGGGTGCTGCGTTGACGGCGTCGAGCTGGCGTGATGTGAGCGCGAGAGTCGTCTACGCCGCGACAAAGTCCGTGGCAACACCCTTGCACCCCTCATGTGTGCTATCTGATATGCTTGCCGACAAGCTTGGGGATGCGACCAGACCCGACGCCAACCCGTCGGCGTTGGCGTGAAAGCGAGGTGTGTGTGTGCGAGGCGTCGTTGATCCGCACTCGAGCGAGCACCCACCTTCTCCAGAGGGCCTTCAATGGACGCCCGACGCGCGATGCCATGTCGTGCTCCCCAAGCCGAGCCTGGATGGCGCGGTCAAGGAGTTGAGGACAAGCTGGAAAGGTCCAGCAAGCGGCCACCGACGCGATGAGTGGTAGTCTAGCGCGAATCAATCTGCTCACATCTGCGCCCCACACCCACTTTACCGGCACCGCCAGCCCATACGACCATGACAGGATCGGCGCCGTTGCGTCGATGAGAACCCAAGCTTGGCTGCGTCCCCTCCCCTCAGAGGGCCTCGAAATGATCGTAGGTCATGCAACGGCGCCGGGCAACTCGGGCACACCCGACTGGGCCCAGCGTTGGCTGCAGCAGCGACTTGAGTGCAGCATTGCAGCGGATCTCTCACGCAAACACCCACACTCGAACGAGCGGCACCTCCATCGAACTTGTACAGCAGCCGTGAGCTGCAGCCCGTGAGCAGCATCAACGACCTGGCCGTCAACCGACCGGCCACCGACCGGCCGCCGACCAGCTGCCGACCAACCGACTAACCGACCAAACGCCGCGCCAACCGGTCACCGCCACCACCCCACCCCAACCCACCCCCTTCCCCTCATCCCCCCTCCCCCCCTGTCATGCCCACTGTCGGGGTGCTCTACCCATGCCCATGGGGCGACTCTGTCTGCCGAGTCGAGGGCCCTTCCTCCCTCGTCCTTCCCGTGCCTCAGGCAGAGACTACCCCTACCCCTTCCCACCCCCACCCCCACCCTCATGCCCACCCATCATCATCGGCAGCAACAACAGCAGCAAAAGCAGCATCATCATCTCGCTCAGATGGGCATCGATCCCGCAAGCATAGCAACAAGCATAGCAGCAAGAGCAGCAGCAGCAAGAGCAACAGCAGCAAGAGCAGCAAGAGCAGCAGCAGCAAGAGCTCACACACAGAGAATCGGACCTTTGAGCTGGATGCCCTGGTGGCGGCTGTGGATGGCATTGCCCCGTCGTCTCGAGGTAGAGCAGAGGAGCTTGCTGCTGCTTCATCTGCTGCGCCTGCTTCACCGACTTCGCTTGCCTCATCGACGCTCTCGGCGCGGCCAGGAGCTACTGCCGATCAGGGGTCTGTAGCAACGGCGGCGACGGCGGGCGATGGCGCTCTAGTGGTCGTCGACTCGGAGTTGGCCCTGGCAGAGGCTGCATTTGCGGCTGCTGTGGCTCCAGCCGTGGCAAGGGCTTCCGTGGAAGGAGCAGATGCCGCAGTGGTGGTGGCTGCTGGCGCGCCGGCGCGGCTCTGGGCGCTGGGGAGAGACGATGTTCTCGGTGGCGGGCCGCTGACGCCGTCCGGCGGCGCGGTGCACTACGCGGCGGCGGCGCTCCTCGAACGCGGTGCTCTTCGCATGGCCATGTACGAGATTGGGAGCGGCGCGCCGCGCGACCTGGTTACGCGCGACCGGCTGCAGTCACAGCGAGCATCGTCGCATTACGCTGATCCGGTGACGGTCCGCGGAGCTCATGACGGGGAGCCGAACAACGCTGAGCACGTCAAGCCGCACCGGGCGGTGCTCGAGTACGACGAGGGACACACAACGCTGGCGGGACTCTCGCGAGTTGCTGTCGCCTCGGTCGACGAGGTCGAGAATGTGCTCACGCTCGGGTACATGAACGTGTCCCTCGATCGCGAGACCTTGTCACCCGAGGCTCACCTGGTAGTTGTACTGAGCCTCGACCGCGGCGGCTCGGCGACCTTTGTTGTGGTTGCTGGAGTGGGCGGGCACGAGTCGCCGACAGCGCGGGCAGCGTTTGCCGAGGCGCGGCATCTTGCCATGTACGCCGGCTCGTTGGCATCGCCCGACGGCAGCGGGCGGACGCCCGGCATCGACTATCGCTCGCATTGGCTGACCAAGGCGCTGATGCCTTCGTGGGCCGCCGGCGCCGTCTCGGCCGTCGTCTGTCTCAATGGCGACCGCCGGCGGACCCCACTCGAGTTTTTTGCCGCGCAGCTGGCGGTCAACGTCGGCGCGGTCGCGCGCGCTTACGCCGTCCTCGACGAACTCGAGCCTTCGTTGCCGCCTACGCCTCAGCTCTCCTCCGCCGACGCCGCCAAGGCCAAGGCCGCACACACCCGGGCGCTGCTTGCTGAGCAGGAGGGCATCATCGCCGCACTGCGGGCGCAAGTCCGGGCACTTCAAGTCGAGAAGCGCGGCCCGCACGCCATGGTGTACGCGACTCACGGCGAGGTGCCAGCGGTGAGCGAGACCGCAACTGGCACGCTCCGCACTGCCCTCCTCCAGGCAAAGCGCGAGAAGATGCAGGTGCTGGTGACCCACCGCGAGCGGGTCGACGAGCTAGCCCGCGAGCTTGACGCGGCGCGATTGGCGGCGTCGGACGGCGAGAACGAGGCCTCGCGTGCGCTCATTGCCGAGCGCGAGCGGCGGTTCAAGGCCGAGCGCACCATTGTGCAGCTTGAGGACGAGCTTCGCGAGCGCGCGACCCAGATCGACTCTCTCACCCACAAGCTCGCGCGGCTGCAGCAACGGACCGACGAGCGTATTGCCTCGCTGCAGGGCACCATCCGAAGCCACAAGGCTGCGGCACTGGAGAAGCTCCGCGCTGCCGAGGCTCGTTACGACGAGCAGCGGGGCCAGGTGGAGGAGCTCGGCACACAGGTTGCCCGCCTCATGAAGGTCGCGTCCAAGGCGCGCGCTCAGCGCGATGAGGACACCCAAGTCGACGACCTTCTCGACCGCCTTGTCCCGCTCATCTCGGAACAGGCAGCGCACCTCGGCTCGCTCGAGGAGCGTGTAGGCGCGCTCGTGGGCTCGGGCAACGCCGAGTCGTATCCGTCGTTTGTTGCCGGCGTTGACGTTGACCTCGACATCACGCCTCCCATCCGCTCGCCAGAACGCTAGCGCTCGCTCCGAGACTTTACTCCTCGACGGCGCCGGCGCCCACCGCCGCATACACTGCTGCAAACAAGACGTCCAGCTGCTCGCTCGCTGCCTGGAGCGACTGAAGCTTAAACTGCGACTTAGAGGCAAGCGTCTCGAGCGCGTCGACCCGAAGCGGACCGGCAAAGCGGGCCTCGTTCGGCGCCTCACACTCGGGACACTGGCCAAGATCGGCCGGCGCGCAGCCCTCACAGACCACGTGCTCGCAGGTCGGGAAGAGAATTGGCTCGTTGAGGCCGCCGAGGCAGACTAGGCAGGTGAGCGACGACTCGGCCGCGCGTTCGGCTGTGAGCAGGTCGGCGAGTGTCGATCGGAGCGCGCCGCGCGCCTTGACCAGCGCAGCCATAACTGGCGCAGGCGCGTACGAGCGTGACGAATGACTGCTCTCGCCTGTGGACTCGTTGTAGACGGGAACCTCGTCGTCAGCGGAGCTCGCTGCCGATGCCATCAGGTCCCGAATGCGAGCGTCGCGCGAGGCGAGTGCCGACTCGGCGGCGTCCTTGTCGGCGAGCGCAGCATCGAGCTCGAGCTTGCGAGCCTGTGCACTCGACCGCATCTCCAGCAGCTCGCTCTTGAGAGCAGCAGCCTCGTCGAGTGCGGCGTCGAGTCGGGCTGCCGCGTCCTCAGCGGACGAGGCGGCGACCGCCTGAGCCTCTGCGGCGGCTAGTGCCGCCTTGAGCGCCACGTTCTCGTTGCGCACAGATTCGAGTGAAGCTTCGGCCACAGTCAGCGACGTTGCCATCGATGCCAGCTCGGCATTGAGCGCTGAGCTCTGCCGCTGCGAGGCCTCAACCAGCGAGGCGAGCTTGCCCTTTTCAAATTGGGCGTCAGCGGCCTCGCGGCGGAGCTTCTTGATCTGCTCGGCAGCTAGTCCCTGCGCCTTGGTAAGATGGGCAACTTTGGCTTGCGCCGCATCCCGCTCTCTAGTGATGGCCGCCAGCGCGCTGCGGGCCTTTGCAGCTTCTGCACTCGCCACGTCGACCTTCTCCTGCGCCGCCGCCGCCGCCAGTGCCGCCGCCGCCACGTCGGGCGCTTGGGACACCAGCGCCGCGTTCTGCGAGCGCAACTCTTCCAGCTCACGCTGCGCTTGCGCGTGCGCAGCTGACACACTCTCAAAGTTTCTCTCGGCCGTCGCCAGCTGATCGCGGACAAGGCCGAGCTCCTCCCGCAGGAGCGGGACCAATCGCGCGGCTGCGCCACTGGCCGAGCCAGCCGAGTCGCTCGCGCCCGCTGCCGCCGCCGCGGCCTCTGCCGCCTCCTCGGGAGCCAAGCCAGCGGTTGCCAGCATTTGCGAGACTTTGAGCTGATCCGATGCCGCCAGCATGGCCGCCACCTGGTCATCACTCTCGGAAGTAGCTCCCATCCCCGCCTTGGCCTCGACCGGCCTGCCTGTGCTGCTCGCCGGAGCCGAGAACGAGGCCCCGGGCGCCCGCGAGAGCGCCACCAGATTCTTGAGCCCGCGCGGAGTGTGGCTCGACATGGAGAGGGGTTGTGCTGTGTGGGTGTGAGTGTGAGTCTGCGGTGTGGGTGAGTGCTGTGGTGCGGGGAGCTTGGTGGTGTCGGAGTTGGGTGCGCGCTCGCGCCAAGTGACGCACTCGACAGTGATGGGCTAGGGTTGTCCGGTGACAAGCATGCTACTATTTTTCGGAGACTGCATGTCACTACTCCCCATAGTACTGTTGCCGCGACTGCTACGAGCCGCTAACACTCGCGGCCGGCGGAGCAAAGCAAAGCAGCTAGCACCTTACTTTGCTAAGAGCTCCAATGGCATCGGCACAGTGGGCTCCGACGGAGCGGGAACCCATCCGCCCATCCTTTTGATGACGATGCGCGACGACGACGACGACGACGGGCGCCCACTGGCTGCCCAATTCTTACCTTGATCTCGTTTGTACGCGAGCTATCGAGCCATCGAACGGCGCTCCTGTACACGCGGATCACCGTGCCAATTGGCACGATGTGCTGGCAAAGATGGTCAGCACAGCAAACGCGAGGAAATCTCAAGCCGTCGAGCCAGCGGAGCGACCACTCAGCCGGCAACCGAGAGTGTGCAGGAAATTGGCATTGTTCTCGAACCTGTGCGTTTGTCAGGGATGACCACTCCGCCAATCTGGTCAAAACATCGTTGCAACTTGTTGTCTTCTCTTCGTTAACACCCACCGCTTCACCCGCACTTGGCACCCGTACTAGGCACCCGAACCAAGCCTGCCACACCACCCACACCGCAATGGACGGCTGCGAAGGACGCGTGTTGTGTGTTGTTGCCTTGTCCTTCCTCCTCGTTTGTGGTGTCTTTGGTGCAACCCTCCCCGTTTCCCGGCAACGTTGCTGACATCGCGTCGACGGTTGCGTCTGCGGCCAACAACGATGTTGTGGAGATCCCTGCAGGAACATGGACAGGATGCGCGAGCGCGGTGACGGGGCTCGGAGCAGGCGTCTCCATCACAATTCGAGGTGCAGGCGTCGGTGTGACTATCATCGATTGCCAGTCGTCGAATCAGCGGGCGTTTCTGTTTGATACCAAGGCCGACGGCTTTTTCCTCGAAGACTTTTCCATCGTTAATGGAGGTGGCCCCAATACGGCGTACAACAAAGGCGGATGCATGCGACTGATGGACGCCTCAACAGTGACCTTTACCAGGATCCACGTGAATGGCTGCATGGTCGATGATGGAGCCGTGACAAAAGCTGGATGCGTCGAGGTCGGCCAGTCGTCGTCGCTCACCATTGTCGACTCGACGCTGGAGAACTGCGAGGCGACAGGCCCGGGCGGATGCGTGCAGGTCCCATCGGGCTCAAGTCTCATACTCGATGGCGCCATCCTCCGGAGCTGTACCGCAGGCACTGTCGGCGGTGCCATTGCGGTGCAAAATTCCAACCTGTTCCAAGTCATTGGCGCAGGCGCCTCGATCTCGTCCTCGACTGCGGAGCTTGAGGGCGGCGGGGTGTATCTGGACCAGACCGCCGCTATCGACGTAGTTGCCGGCGCTGTTTTCGATGTGTACAATAACGAGGCTGGTACTAGTGGCGGTGGCATCGCCGTGATGCAAGTCGGCGGCGATGCGCCGTCCGGGAGCATCCGCGGGGCCACTATCCGCGACAACTCAGCGGCCGTTTGTGGCGGCGGCATGTGGTGGGGCGAGGGCGTCGACGTAGTGCTCACCGACTCGCTCGTCGCCGGCAACGTCGCGGATTTTGGCGGTGCCGTGTGCTTTGCGGGTGCTGGATCGACTGGCTCGCTCATCTCGAACACGGTGCTGAGCGGGAACTCGGCGACAGACGGTGGCGGCTTGTATGTGACGGGGTCGACGAGCGCGACGCTCCACAATCTCACCATCACCGACAACACCGCCGATTTCGGGGCAGGAGCATACTTTGGCACTGGTGCCGTACCCACGCTGTCAGGCTCGCTCATCACGCAGAACCACGCGCTCGTCCGCGGAGCACTGTACACCACTAACGACGTCGGTTCTACCATCGACACCGTCGGCACGGTCTCGTGCACCAACTACGGCGGTGATGCGGAAAATGCTGACACCTCGTGTTCCGGAGTGTCGCGGTTCGTCAATCCGCCACCGGGAGACTGTGCGTCGAACACGTTCTGCAAGCGGTCAACCGATCCTTGCACCTTAGCTGGCCCGCCGGCCACCTGCACCTCGGCCTGTGTCACCGGATGGACTGGTTCCCGGTGCGCGACGAAAGCCGACTGCCTTGTGGATCCCGTGAACGGGCCATGCACGACATGTGCACCCACGCATGAGCTGGACACGACCGAAGGCTCGCCGTCGTACGGCGCATGCGTTCCGCCGCCACCACCATCGCCGCCGCCACCCCCGCCGCCGTCGCCGCCACCTCCGCCGCCATCGGCGCCATCGCCGCCACCTCCGCCGCCATCGGCGCCATCGCCGCCACCTCCGCCGGCATCGCCACCACCCCCGTCGCCACCACCTCCGCCACCATCGCCACCATCGCCGCCACCTCCCTCCCCTCTTCCACCACCACCACCGCCATCCTCACCGCCTCCCAAGTCGGGACCAAAGATCCCGGACCCCATTGTCTGGGCGCTCAAGCCATCTGTCTCGCCGTACGCCGGTGGCATCGCAATGGTGCTCTCGCGGACGCGCGCGCTGGCGTCGGACACCCCGTTTCGGCCCGACGGCTTGTATGTGGTCGAAGTTGAGATCTTTAGTGATCCCAGAGACGCTGCACCCGTCACCATTAGCAGGATCAATGCTGACTTTAAGACGGAGACGTCGCTGTCCTTTGTCTCGCCGTCGTCAAACAAGACCGGCTACCACAAGATGGCGTTCCGCGAACTGGGAGCAGCCGGCGCTGCGCCGGTTCCGCTGGCCTCGCTGCTGACGTACGTTGAGCATCAGTGCTACGACGAAGGGTTTGTGTGGTATGGGCGACAGTGCCAGCCGTGCTCCAACTTTAAGGGCGCGTACTGTCCTGGCGGCGCACGGTTCTGGCCGCGGGCGGGCTACTGGTCGCCATCCGAGACTGTGCCACCGACCATGTGCCGGCTCCCTGCGGCATGCCCTGGCGCGATGGGTGAGGATGACAAGTATCCACCGCGGATGGATGATGATGGCGTGCGGATGACGATGCAGTGCGCCAAGGGCTATGCCGACGAGTTCTGCTCGACGTGCGAGGATGAGTACTACCAAGAGTACGGCGTGTGCCGGGCATGTGGCTCGGATGCGTCGGTGAAGGCCGAAGTGGCGCTCATGCTGATCGTGGCAAGCGTGTACTTTATCGTTGTCCTCGGCTCGCTGTTCCTCTTCTCGGCACAGACACTGGTCTCTGTGGTCTCTGTTCTAGTTGCGGCACAGCAGATGGTCATTGTGTGCAAGGTCGGCCTGCAGCAGCTCTCAGGCTCGATGACGTCGCCGATTTTCCCCACCATTGTGCGGGTACTGTCTATCATCAACTTTGAGATTGAGGTGGTCAAGCCCGGCTGCTCTGTTGGCGCCCTCTCGTTTGTCTCACTCTATACGGGCACTGTGGTTATTGTCGTTCTTGCTGGCTTTATGTTCATTGCCGTTGTCTGGGTCCGGACGCACTCGTGTCTGGCGCGCAGCGCGCATCGGGCTACGTCTGTGCTTAACCTTCCGACGCTGCGCAACGAGCTGTCATCGTCGTCGTCGTCGTCATCGTCGATGGTGCTCGACGGCAACAGCTCCATCTACGGTTCGTCGATTCCTCACCACGAGGCGTTTGCGCGGTCAAACGCGCGGCTGGTGGCCTCACTCCGCTCCGGCACCGCAACCTCGCTCAACACGACGCAGCTGTTGCAAGAGCGGCTGGAGGATTCGCGGACTGTTGGAAGAACTCCCTTGAGTCGTAAGGACATTATGCGCTCGCGCTCTAAGCACGCCATCATGATCCTGTTTGCGCTCTCTTACCTGCAGCTCTCGCTGCGGACGCTCGAGGCGCTCAACTGCATCAAGGTTGGCGACGGAAGCCTGCGGTTGGTCGCGGAGATGCGGGTGACGTGCTACGAGGGCGAGCACCTGCGGGCTGCGGTGCTGGCTTGGATAATTCTTGTGGGCGTGTGCGTGGCGTTCCCGGTGTGGATGTGCATGACAGGTATTCAGATGTACCGTGCGCTGCGAGCGCTCAACATGGTGGTCATCGATGTGGCGATGGAGGCGTACGGCTTTCTGCTCCACGGCCTAAAGCCGCCGTTCTTTTGGTTCCGCGCCCTCCAGTTTGTCTCGACATTTGCTTTTGTGGCCGAGACGGTTTTTCTCGGGGAGTCTGGGCCGCGCATCTTTGCCACGATTGTCAACTTTACAGTCACTATGCTTGTAGTTGCCATTCTCGACCCGTTCATCCATGAGCTCCACACGTTGCTTTCGATTGGTTCGGGGCTGGCGTCGTCCGGCCAGCTCATGTACTACCTGTACCAAGAGGATGAGACGCTCTTTGGCATTTCTGTTGGCTTTCAGATTGTCACGATTGCTGTCGCTGTCGCTGCGATTGTCTTTCATGTTGTCCGCAAGCAGCGGCGAGGCCGCACGAGCAAGGTGGCCCCGGCTGTGTTGTCAAGCTCGTCATCGAGTTCGTGTTCGAACGCGACAGCAAGCTCGTCGCCGAGATCGACAGCAGAAGCACGCAACGTTTTGGATTCCATCGAAGGGGGGCCTGCAAGCATCAAGGAGCTACCGGTGGCGCGGCCAAAGGCAGTCATGCTCGACGACGAGCCCGAGCTGAGCGCAGCGAGCACAACCCCACCACGTGATGCGGGCTCCGGAGCTTCGCTGGCGACGTTGCACGAGGCAAAGGAGCCTGGTGTGTCTGGCATGGACGAATCGTCGCCGCCGAGGGCAGCTCTCGTTTGCTCGGAGCAACATGGTTTGTTGCGCCTGGAGGTGTCTCGGTCGCTGGTGGATCTGCGCGAATTTGGGCCTTCACCCGATCTTCGCCACAAGCTTCTCAGTCCGAGCCACAAGGCATTGCAGTCACATCGATCAGCACAAGACCTGCATACTGTCCAGTGCCTCACCCACACTCCCATCAAGCCGGCGTCGGCCGCTCCTGACACGAGTCGGTCGCATTCGTCGCGGTCCCACTCGCGGTCAGGACGGCGCAACTCGAGCACGATCGAGTACCGCGGGGTGACCAACGCGACGTCGCCAGTGGCTGGAGGCCGGCGGCTGTCAAAGCAGTGGGAGACACTGGCTGATGACGTCAATGACTCTGGTGCGGAAAAATGGCGGTGGCGGTCGCACCAGGAAGGCGATCACTGGAACGGACTGGCCCATCACGCGCATAGCAAAGGGCGCAAGCCGCGCCGCCGCCACCGCGATGTGTCGACAGGCCATGAGGCTGGTGCTTGCATGCAGGCGAAAGTCAAGATCTCAGATCCGGCACTCATCACCGGCGGCGTCACAGGCACAGCCGGCATGCCGATGCCGAAGTTGGAGTTTCTGCGCCTAGCGGTACGCACCATCCACATCAAGAGGAAAGCGCACACCATCAACGTCGGAAGGGAAGCGGGCACCGTCCGCATCGAGAGGACAATGGCTCTCATCGCCACGGCCACCATCACCGCCACGGCCACGGCCACCACCACCATCCCAACTCGACGCGGTCCAGGACCATGGACGCGCTTCCTATTTGTCGCGAGTCGAGAAGGGTGTCTGACAGTGCGACGATGGCAGTGACCAGGGCACAAGGAGATCTGCCTAATATCTCGAGCGCTGACTTTGAATGAAGTCACCACCCAGGACCCAGCACAGGAAAGCTATCCCTGGATATTGCATCTGCGAGCCGGAATCAAGTGAGCGATGTCGTTGCCTGTCACGCCACCATTGATCCTCCTCTTCCTCCCCCCCCCCCCCCCCCCCCCCCCCCCCCCCCCCCCCCCCCTCCGCCCTCCTCCGCCCTCCTCCTGCGCTCAAAAGACTTCACGTCACCCCAGTACAGCAAGCATGTCGGCCATAGACACCGCATGCCCAAGCGAGGCAGAAGAAACTTCTGCTGTGGCTGGTGATGACGGTAGTGGCGGCAACATGGCCATGGCGGACGGGACTGGTGGTGGTGGAGGTGGAGCTGGTGCGTGCGCAAGCCAGCTCCAGGTTGGCGGCCACGGGCATGCGGGTGGTGTGGATGACATTGGAGTAGAAGCCGAAGCGGATGGCGGGAAGCTTGATGTCACCATTGCCGACGTGGTGGCTGGAGATGCCGAAGAGGTTGCGGTTAAGGTCGGCAACTTGGTGGAGGTGGAGCCCGCGTCCGAGGCTGGCGGCACCGAGTCCGCGTCCGAGGCGGGCGATGCAGCTCATCATACCGAACTCGCGTCCGAGGCTGGCAACCCCGAACCCGCGCCCGAGGCGGGCGATGCAGCTCATCATACCGAACTCGCGCCCGAGGCTGGCAACCCCGAACCCGCGCCCGAAGCTGGCGATGCAGCTCATCATACCGAACTCGCGCCCAAGGCTGGCAACCCCGAACCCGCGCCCGAGGCGGGCGATGCAGCTCATCATACCGAACTCGCGTCCGAGGCTGGCAACCTCGAACCCGCGCCCGAGGCGGGCGATGCAGCTCATCATACCGAACTCGCGCCCGAGGCTGGCAACCCCGAACCCGCGCCCGAGGCGGGCGATGCAGCTCATCATACCGAACTCGCGCCCGAGGCTGGCAACCCCGAACCCGCGCCCGAAGCTGGCTATGCAGCTCATCATACCGAACTCGCGCGCGAGGCTGGCAACCCCGAACCCGCGCCCGAAGCTGGCGATGCAGCTCATCATACCGAACTCGCGCCCGAGGCTGGCAACCCCGAACCCGCGCCCGAGGCGGGCGACGCAGCTCATCATACCGAACTCGCGCCCGTGGCTGGCAACCCCGAACCCGCGCCCGAAGCTGGCGATGCAGCTCATCATACCGAACTCGCACCCGAGGCTGGCAACCCCGAACCCGCGCCCGAGGCGGGCGACGCAACTCATACAACAACCAGCGCGACTCCGCTAGTCACCCGCGAGACACCTCTCGACGCCGCAACCCTCCTTCCGCTCGTCGACATCATCCACGCGGCGACTTCGGCGGCGTCCACCCCGGGCGACATTCCATGGGCCGAGGCCCGCGGCCTCCGCATCCTCTGCGCCCGCCTCTCCCTGGTGGATAGACTCGACCAGGATGCCATCATCCCACCGCTTGCGGACCTCGCCCTCCGCCTTGCTCACCTACATATGGCCATCCACTCGCCAAGCGAGGCTGACGTTGCGGAAGCGTCGGACCATTGCACCATGGTCATCCGCGAGCTTGTGGCTGCCTCGCACTCGGAAGCTCTTGCGGCATCCCCTGCTCGTACCGCCGCCGCATTCGATCTTGTCGATGGTCTCTGCGGCCTCATTGACTCCTTTCTTCTCCCGCGCGCCCTCGACACCGAGCTTTGGCTCCCCCCTGCGCTCAACTACACCACCGCCGCATTTGAGCTCGCCGACAAGGCCGGGCTTGCTGACGCGCAGGTCACGCTTCTCACTGCTCTTGCCGCCCTCTATTCGCACCAGGCCACCTCGCTTCCACCGTCGCGGGCATACGCAAACGGACACAAGATCGCGACTCTCTACGCCTACTCGGCCATCCAAGTCGCCGACGATGCCGGACTGACCGGCGACAACGTACATGCTGCTGCACTTGCTCCACTCGCCACCACCGCCGCCTTTATGCGTGCCGTTGCCGCTCATCCGCTCTCGCCGGCCGGTGCCGCCCTGCTCGACGCCTACGTCAGCCCACTGCCTGCGGCTGACCTTGCGTCTCTCCCGTGGTTTGTCAACCGGGGTACCCTCCACTTTATGCGCTACTTTGTGGCCCTCCTCTACCAGCGCTTCTTTGAGCCGCGCGTCGACGCCGCCCGCCTTGCGCCGCGCTCGCTCGAGGCCGTCTCGCCGGTCTTCACCCGCAAGCTGACGGCCCTGCTTGTGACTGAAGGCCTTGTCCCGGCATCGGCAGCACATGGCTCAAGCCGTCAAGCCGCCGAGGACGCGGATGTAACTCCTGCGCCGCCGTCCTCGGTCGACTGGATCTTCTCGCTCCTCGCAGCACATCAGGACCAGTTTGTCCATGTGCTCCAGCGCGATGAGGGTATTCATGTTCTTATGCGTCTCATGGGTGGCATGACCTGCGCACTGCTCGAGACGCTCATCGAGGACGCCATGTCTATCACCGGCCCCCGCCCTGCGCATGGTCTGTCGTTGGCCTCGGCTCGCTCGCTCGCGAGGAAATGTGTCCCTTTTCCGACCTTGATGCCATCCTGCTTGTCGCCTCGGACGAGCCGCACATCCTCAGCTACTTTCAGGCCACCATGGAGCTCCTCGAGCTACAAACCATCGGCCTCGGCGAGACACCCTTCCTCTGCTTTGACCGCGGTCAGCGCTCGGTGCTCAAGGACGGCTTCCGCCTTGACGTCGCCGCACTCTCGCCGGTCAACACCATCACTACGCCCGGCGAGCTTGCCCGTCGTCAAGTCGAGGTCGCCTGTGACCTGCTCGGCGGCGCCGACGTCGACCCCATCGGCCACGGCATTCGCTCCGGGTGCCACGTGGCTGGCGAGCCCGAGCTGTTCAGCGACTACTGCGCCGCACTCGCAGATGTCTTTGCCTCCAAGCTCGATGACGTTCTCCCTACCTCGAACAACCTCATCCTCCAATGGGCCCTTCACAATCGTCGCAAGGACGAGGCCTCTGGCATGCTCATCGATAATCCGGCCATCGCTGCCGCACAGGATCTGCTTGATCAGCGTCGCCGCGACGAGGCCGACAACTACTACCACTACGACGACGATGGCACGACCAAGCGGGCCAAGCGAGTTCGCCGAGCGCTCAACGCGCCCGTCAAGATTGTCACCCGCTTTGCTCGCTCCCGTGGAGACGGCGCGGCAGGCGACGCCGCGCCCATGTCGGCCGAAGAATTGGCCGCGTGCATTCGCGACGGCCGCCAGGTGCAGCTTTCGTCCGAGCAAGCTATCCTTCCCTACGTTGCCCTCCGCCAGTTCTACGCCATCGAGACGCTCAAACGGAACAACACGGCACATGGCGTGTTTTCTCCTGGCGAAGTGCCACTCGCCGGCGAACTGTTTGTCAAGGACAACCTCTGTCGGTTCATTGCTCTCGCCCTCGACGGCCTCGCCCTCTACGTTGGCATCGCCTGCGCCTCGACTCAGGGCCGCATCGCCGCCCTCCGCGACGCTGGCGTCGTCCACCGCGACATGGCCCGTGCTTGGGCCAAGTTCCACACCTTTGCCTGTACCATCCGCTACAAGGCCCATTTCATGCACGGCTGTGAGGAGGAGTCGGTTTGGTACGCCGACGCGACGCCGCCGGCTACACTCTCTCAACTGGTTCAGCTCACGCGAGATGACTCGACGTACCTCCGCAACGCCGTCACCCTTGTCCTCCACCCGCTCTCAGCCATGCTCTCCGACTTTACCACCTCGTGGGGCGAGTCCGCCCCCTTCGCCGCCATGAAGCACATGGTCGAGGCGCGCTGGGCGTGGAAAATGGACGCCATCGCCGAAGTAGTGAGCGATGGCGAGCTTGTCGGCGATGCCCGACTCAGCGCCTACGCCGCCGCTGGCCCGCAGGCCTTTATCGGCGTCCGCGACGGCCGCGTCCGCCGCCTCCGCGACGAGTTTGCCGAGGAGCTGTTTACGGCCACAGGCGTGACACAGACTTCCTCCCACGGCCGCCGCAACGTTGTCCAAGTCGGCGGCTTCCACTTTAAGCAAAACCCGGAGCTCCCCGGTGCCGAGCTCGCCGTCCACCTTCTCGCTCACCTGGTGTTTGGCGACGGCACACCGCCGACCGACCTCATCCGCGTGAGGCACATCAACGACGACGCTGACTATGTCTTTCAGGTCTCAGAGACCGTGCCTGGTCCCATTCTCAAGGACGTGCTCGCATCTGCGCTTGAAGTGCCCGGCCTCGACCACGCGTACTTTTCGCAGCAAGTCCTCCTCGCCCTCATCACCAATCCCGAGGACGGCAAGCTTGACAACTACGTGGTCGAGGATGTGGTCGAGCCCGGTGCGCCCAACGGCCTAGTCCGCCGCCCAGTGCCCATCGACAACGATCATGCTTTTGTGGCGCCGCTCATTGCGCATCGGCTCTCGGCCGCACAGGCCCGGGTCAAGACGGTTCTTTTCTGCATGGCCGACATGAACTTGCCCATCGACCCAGTCGTTGCCGCCAACTTTACCCGCGTCGATGCCGAGAGCGTGCTCGGCCACTGGCTCGCCGAGCTCGATGCCTACCACCGGCGAATGGAGACCATTGCGCCACCGGCGATAATCGATGCACTCGCCACCCGCCGCAACTTTCCCACAACGCTGGAGATTCGCTTCAAGCCGGGCCTCGTCTTTGTCATCTTTAACAAGATTCTCACTCTGCAGTCGGCTATCACGTCGATGAGTGAAGGCGAGCCGCTGACCTTGCGGGACCTGCTCCAGGCCGGCGAGCCGACTCTGGCGCCGCTCTACGCCACCGTCCTCGACAACGAGAGCCTCCCGTCGGCTGCCGCACGCTTTGCCGTCATTTCCTCTGGCCAGTACAAGAGCTCACGCGGCGGTGGCCTCGTCACCGTCACGCCGAGCATCCAGATCCAGCGCAACCAGCAGGCATACGTCGCCACCTCGCTGGCCGAGGAGAAGCGGCTCCGTCGCCTGCACGCGCCACCCAAGGCCGGACTGTCGTGGAGGCGCAAGTCGGCGCGGGACCTGGCTCGCGAGGCCGGCCTCGTCACTCCCATCGAACTCACCGGCGAGCTGAGCAAGCTCGTCAAGGCGCAGGCTGCCAACGCGCTCCGCGACCTCATGCGCGGCGACCTCGCTGCCTTTATCAACCTCCGTCTCTCGCAGTTCAAGGAGGACGTCGTGTCCCGTGTCGACTTTGCCTCGCTGGATCCTCTCCGCCAGGGCCACCTCTTTGACGCCATGAGCGGAACTTACTTTCGGAAGCTCACCATCCAGGGTTCGTCACTCCTCACCGACACCATGCTGTCGGCGATTCTCAAGCACTGCCGCAATCTGACCAAGCTCGATGTCTCGGGATGCGAGAAGCTGGTCACTCTCGGTGACCTGGCCAAGTATGCAAGCAACCTCCGGGTTCTGGTCGCTTCCGGCACCAGAGTCACCGACGCCGTGCTCGATCAAGTCGAGCGAGCCGCGCCCGACCTTGCCGTCTGCACACTAAGCAACGCAAAATGGGCCCCGCTCCGCACCTTTGTGGCGCACGATCCGCGGCTCATCTTTGCACGAACCCCGCGTACCTTTCAGCATGGTCTCCGGATGCTGTTTGCCTTCAACTCGCGCCACCGCCCGATCACGCACCTCGATCTTCGCGGCTGTGGGCTTGTCGACAGCCAAGCGCTGCTGCTCGTCAACGCAATGAGCGCCACGAAATCTATCCGCACACTCAACGTTGCACACAACGCGATCACCGGAGACGTTGCTTGGGACCTTGTTTTCCTCATTCTCGGATCGGACACTCCTGGCAGCGCAGGACCGGTGAGCGACGGCGGATCGAACGCTTTTGGCAGTGCAGAATCAGAGAGCATCCGCGGAAATGCTGTCGTGCCCATTCTCGGATCGGACACACCTGGCTGTGCAGAACCAGTGAACGATGGCGGTGACGCCGGCGTCACGGCCAGCAGCGGCTCGCCCCACGGCAGTGTGAGCGAGTGCGTGGCGGGCGAGAGTTGCTCGGGCAAAGAGTCAGACATTGACAACCAGGCATCCGATGGCCATAGCGACCCCATCCCGCCGGTGCTTGTCCCGGCCGACCCTGCTGTTGAGCTTGTGGCTGTCGACATTTCGTACAACCCACTCACCCAAGAGACGTACGACCGCATCCAGACTGTGGTTTCTCGCTTGGCGGAACTTCCGACAGTCCTAGCAGATACGCTGTATCGGCAGCGGGCAGACGATGCAGACGAGCTGGGTCCGGCCCCCGAACCGATCGGGCGTGTGGAGCACTCGATGCGGCAGCTGGTCGAGGAGGCCAACTCGTGGTGGATGAGCAAGCGGATTGTGTTCGAGCCTCGTGCCCAAGTACGTTCGAAGAAGCCGCGGCGGGCCAAGATCGGCGGCGGACCTGGTGGCGGGCTGCTCGGCGGCGGAGAGACACGGGCGCGAGCGGTATCTGTTCGCCACGACGCCGGCGTCGAGTCTGAGACCGGCTCTGAGATCTCCGTTGCCGGCGATGTGGTGCGCGAAACGACGGCTGTGCCGCTCTTCAAGCTCCCTGTCACCTATGGCTCGCGAGCAGAGTCGTTCCAGGTCGGCGAGAGTCTCGAGGTGACGGCGATGGCTCAACTAGAGTGTCGCGACGTCGTAGCGGTGGCGGTCCGGCTCCCACCGTGCCGATGCGCACTGTGCGTAGAGCAGTACGGCCACAAGGCGCGCAAGTTTGCCGGCGAGCACGACGGTGGCGTGGTTGTTGTCTTTGACACGAGCACCATGCCTTGGACGGTACTCATCACACTCTCGGGTCCCGGGTACGTGGTTACGGCGCTGATGTGGAAGATGCCGCAGCGGCAGCTTGTCGCTGGCGAGGGCTCACAGCAGTCGCGGGACTCTGCAGGTAACCTTTTTGTGTGGCATCTTCGCGACGTGATCCACGACCCGCGGACGCGCCGGGTGGTAACGAGCCTCGACGAGGCCGAGGCCTCGCCGTTTGGGCGGTCTTCAGTCGTCTTGCCTACCATTTATCGGCCGGTAGTGCTTGTCGACACGCGCAGCTCCGAGCCTGCGGCGCGAAGCGAGGTCATCCGCGGGGAGTCGATGAGGCGGCTGGTGGACATAGCGCGCCCGGGCCTTGTCTCGTATCCGGTCCTGAGTCTGGCACAACTCGACGAGAAGCAGATTGCGGTCGGCCGCTATGGGCACAACATCGAGATGTGGCACTGGAATGAGCTACCGGGTGATGGCGGCGATTCGGGGCGCAGCAAGTTGCACCTCGGCGACGAGCTGGATGGCCACACTGACGCGGTGCGGCAGGTGGCACCCACGGCTTGCGGCGACCTGGTCTCGGCCTCATATGACGGAACGGTGCGTTTGTGGTCGCGTGGACTGCCGCTCGACACTATCTCACCGGGCATCGGTGACCTGTATGCCATGGTTGTGCTTGCCGATGGTCGGCTTGTTGTCGGCGGGCACTCGGGCCAGCTAGCGGTTGTCTCGCTCAAGCAGCCCTACGACAAGGGGCTCGAGTCGTCTGTGACGCGGCTCGCCGTTGCGCACACTGGCACCGTCGTTCACCTGCAACAGCTGCACGACGGACGGGTGCTCTCGAGCGCATCCGGCAAGCCGCCAGCCGACTCTCTTGCTCACCTTGCCAACACGGTGTGCATCTTTGATGTCGACGTAGCAGCCACCGGCGGCTCTGCCGACCTCACGTTCTCGACCCGGGAGGCCATTGTTGGCGTTATCGAGACAGGTGACGGCTCGCTGCAGCTGGTCGACCGCGGCGGCCTTGTGTCGCGGGTTGATCTCGAGCACACGTAGGTTGCGTTTACCGAGTTCACCCGTTTGGGCGCTGTCTACGACTTTCTGCGAGTGACATGGTCGTACAGCACACACTGGACGTACTGCGTGTTCTCCAATGGCTTGCGGAACGACGAGTGGCCCGGATGCTCCTCGGGGCTGACGTTGATGATCTTGCGATCGCGCTTGTTCTTAAACTGCAGGCCTTTCTCGTTGTCAGCAATGACCTGGAAGTTTGTGGTGGCGTTGGAGGTGCACGTCTGTGTCTCCCAGTTGTAGAACGAGAGGTCCGAGGGCCGCGGGAGCAAGACGCGGTGGAGAGCAAAGTACTCCTCAAAGTTGTCGGTCTTGAGTCGATGGGCGTAGTCGATGTAGCCGGAGATCTCCTGGCCCTTGCGGTTGACGTGGCGGATGAAGATGATGGTAGCCAGTTTGCCCGAGAGCACCAGCTCCTCCCGCTGTGCGAGTTCGACCAGCAGCGGATAGTCACGGAACTCGCCCTCTAGCCCAGCATGGGCCAGTGACTTTGGAGCGTTACGGATCTTGGCCGTTCGTTGCGTCTCATCCGACTTGAGCCTCTTGAACTCTGCCCGCGAGAGCAAGTCTCCGGGGCCCTTGACGTCGAGTTCCACCAGCTGCCTAGCCAGCGATTCATCTCCAAGATAGTACAGATCAACAGGGAGCACAAACGAGTCAAGATAGTCCTCGTACTCGGCGAATTGGTCGAGTGAGTCGGCTGTGCCTGCCGCCATGCTATCCGTATGAGGTGGGGGGGGGGGGGGGGGGAGGTGGGGAGGAGGAGGAGGAGGAGGAGGTGGTGGTGGTGTGGAGGTGTGTGCGGAGGTGTGTGTGAAGGTGTGTGTGAAGGTGTGTGTGAGGTGTGGGTGGGTGGGTGGCGTGACCAGCGTGGCCGTTGTTCGGGTCGGCTGTGCTGCCGGCAGCAGTCGGCGGCAGTCACCAATGGCTCGATGCCCAAGCCAGCCTTCCCCCAATCCGCGCCAAAAGTTTGAACACGTTCGCATCTCCCTCCAACCCTTCCACCACCACCAACTGCCTCCTTTGGCGCGCACACCGCACCCACACCCACACCCACACCCACACCACACCCATACCCACACCCACACCCACGCCCAGAACCCCCCCCCCCCCCTCCATCACCACCACCGAGCCACGCCACCCCCACGCACATGTCGTTCGCGCCAAAGACGGCACCACTGTCGTGGGACAAGGTCCTTTCGTGGTCGTTGGACGACGTTCACAATGTTGGCGCCGCTGACCCGCCGCTGGTCGAGGTGGCGCTGGAAGAACTGAAGGGCGCAAAGTTTGACACGCAGGCGCCAGAGGCTTCTGATCCGGGTGCTGTGGCCCATCTGTTCTCGGTTACCCAAGCGGCTATGGAGTATGCCCTGGATATGTGGTCGGCCTCGGACAGAGACCTTGTCCAGGTCGAGACACAGCTCGATGCGCTCCGCATGGCCGGAGGCTCGTCCGGCCTCGGTGCAGCCGCAGAGCTCTCCGTCCTCAACTCGAAAATCTCCAGCCTCGAGACAACTGTCAATCAGCTGGAGCGCGAGAAGCTCTCGTTGGAGGAGGAGCTGGCGACCGCCAAGGCCCAGCGGTCCAATGCGCTCGCTGATCTTCAGGACGCGCAGGCACAGGCTAACTCGCACCGCCACGAGCTCATCATTCTGCAGGAGCAGCTGAAGGAGACCAAGGCTGCGCTCGAGACTAAGGAGCGCCGCGTCCGCGAGGACGCCGCCAACGACGAGCGCTCAAAGACCCAGGTCCGTGAGCTGCAGGTCACCCTCAACCAGCTCACCTCGCGGCTCGAAGAGTCGACCGCCGAGGCCGAAAAGTACAAGAACGAGCTGACTCTCACCCAGGGCCTCTTTGCCGAAGCCGTCGATGAGTGGGAACGTGTCGAGCGCAACCTGCAGGATGACGCCGGCGCCGTCCCCGAGTTCAAGCACCGCATCACACAGCTCGAGGACGAGAATGACCGCCTCCACGAGGCCAAGGTTGCCCTCACCACCCAGCTCGCCTCGTACGAGACAGACGACTCCCGGTTTATGGCCCTCGTCGAGGAAAAGATGGCCACCGTCAAGAAGCTGCTCCTCACCAAGGAGAACGAGCTGGCCGCCAAGGACGCGCGCATCACCTCGCTCTCAAACAAGGTCGAGAAGCTCGACCTCGAGCTTCGCGCCTCGTCCAACGAGGCCCTCAAGTCGCAGCTCGCAGACCGCGACGCCACCATCGCCACCCTCCGTCACTTTGTCGAGACCGTCGAAGAGCGCGAGGCCGCGCTGCAGTCCGAATGGGCCTCGCGCGAGGCCTCGCTCGATGAGCTCAAGGACCTTGCCGCCCGTGAACACGCAGCTGAGTTTGCTGCCCTCAAAGACGAGGTCTCCTCCACTCGCGCTGCCCTTCGCAACGTCGAGGCTCGCTACAACGAGGCCATGCAGGAGCTCGACGAAAAGACCCGCGAGATCCTCGAGGCCCACTGCATGATCAAGGAGTACGAGGGCGGAAACCCGCGGTTCCACATGGCCCTTGACAAGATCAAGCACCTCAAGGCCAACATTGCCCGCCAGGACGAGGCCTACAAGGCCCTCATTGCCAAGATCAACAAGGTTCAGGCCGACGCAGACTTTCTCGAGGAGGAGAACGCCGCCTACCGCCACAAGTACGGCTCGCTCAACTCGCAAGACGTCACGATCGTTCTCACCGCAAAGGACCGCGAGCTGCAAAAGCAAGCCGCCCTACTCTCACGCTACCGCCTCGACATCGATGAGCTCGAGGAGGAGGTCCTGGAGCTCAAGGCCTGCCTCCGTCTGCAGGCTGTCGAGCGTGGCGCCAAGGCGTATGATGCCGGCCTCGACGTCGCGTCTTCCGTCAACGATTTGCTCGCCCTCCAGCGCCCGCGCAAGTCAGGCACCTCGCTTCTGGCTGGTGCGGCAGGCGGTGACAATGCGCTCCTGCTCGATAGGCTGGAGCAGGCGGCAACTCGCCTTGCCAACCTCGAGTCCGAGAATGGCACGCTGATGGCCGCCAACGAGTCACTCGCCGCCCAAGCCTCGGCCGCAAAATCGTCGCTCGCCGCGCTCCGCTCTGCGGCCGCCACAGACCTCGACGCCACCGTCAAGGAACTCAAGTCGCAGCTGGCCGCCCGCGACAGCTCGGCCCCCGTCCCACCTGGCGTCACGGCCCTTCTCGACCTGTGGGACTCCAAGCTCGACCTCGTCGCCCACTGCGACGAGCTTGACGACGCCGTCACCAAGGCCCACGACGAGGTCAAGGCCGTCAAGGTTCAGCTCCGCGAAGAGAAGATGGAGAAGGAGCACCATGCTTCGCTTGCCGCCCGCAAGGACCGCGAGCTGGCCGCTCTCGAGGACGAGGTCATCCAGCTCAAGTCGCAGCTCCGCACCGCGCTCGTCTCGGGCATGCTCGATCCGGGCGCAAGCTTTGCTGCCGGCTCGGCCTCCGTCATGGCGCCAGGCACCCCCTCGCGCCGGACATACGCCTCGCTGGTGGTCCAGAACCCGGCACTCTCGCCGCCGGCTGCCGCCCGCCTCTCACCTTCGCGCTCGATGCTGTCATCGATGGACCCTGCGTCGGTCGACGAGCTCGGCGGCCTCATGGCCCAGCTGCTCGAAGCCCTCGAGGCCAACGAGGCCATGCACTCGGAGCTGCACGCATCCGAGCGCGCGCTGGCGGAGCTCAACTCGCAGTTTGATGAGCTCGGCGCTCAGAAGGAGCTTCTCTACGCTGAGCATGCCAAGACCCTCGCCGAACTCAAGACAGCACAGTCTGCTGCGCGCGCCGCCGAGCGCCGCGCCGGCGACTCTTCTGACCTCCTTGCGGCCGCCCGCGAGACCCTCGCCCAGCTCAAGGCGCCCAACTCGCCCAACAAGGCCCAGCTCATCAACGCCAAGCGAACAGTCATCGAGCTCCGCGTCAACGAGAAGGAGCTTGTCCGCCGCCTCGAGGCCGCCTCTTTGCGTGCTGACGACCTTGCCCGCGATCACGCTGCGCTTCTGGCGCGTGCTGAGGATGCCGGCTCGTGGACCAAGGGCTACATCGCCACGCTCAAGGCCTCCAACGAGTTCCTTAAGGCCGAGAACACCCGCCTCCTCGCTCTCACCACCGCCTCGGTCCCGGACTACGAGTACGCCCAGGTTGTTGACCGCGCTGAGACCGCGCTTGCTGCCGCCGCCAACGCCACCGAGGCCGAGGCTGCCGCCCGCGCTGCGCTCGCCAATGCGCGCGCCAATGCTGCAGACGCCACTGCTGCGCTCGCCCGCGCCGACGTGCTCGAGGGCCAGCTCGAAGCGCTTCGCAAAACCCACACCAAGACTCTTGAGACTGTCGACCAGCTCAAGGAACTCTCGTCGGCTGTCACCGACGGCTCAGCCCCACAAGTACTCAAGCGCAAGTACAATATGGTGGCCGGCCTCAAGGCCGAAGTTCTGTCGCTACGGACCTCGCTCGACTCGGCCAAGGCTGCCGCTTCGGCTGCCAAGAAGCGCGCCGACGCCGCCTCGGCCGCTCTCCAGGCTAACACCGCCTTGCTGGACGAGTCCGAGGCCAAGATTTCAGAGCTGTCGACCCAGCTCGGCTCGGCACAGGAGAAGCTGCTTGTGGCACAGAGCAAGGCTGTTGGTTGCCTCTCGCGCGATGCCTCACGTGCGCTCTCGGCCGAACTCGAGGAGACCAAGAGCCGCGCCGCCGCCGCCGCCGCCGACCTTGCCACCTACAAGCGGCTACTCGAGCTCGCCACCACCCAGATGGAGCAAATGCGGACGACTCGCTCCAAGCTCGAGGACCAATCGTTGCTCGCAGCCAAGGCCATCGATGATCTGCAGGCGTCCGGAGACGTCGCCGCCCAGCTCGGCGCTCTCCATCAGGCCAACATGCGGTTGAAGGCCAAGGCTGTCGAGGCCGAGCAGGCAGCTCGCGAGACACGCCGCGAGGCCGTTGTTGCCTCCAACGCTCTCATCGCCGCCACCAAGGACGCTGACCATGCCACCCGCTCAGCCTTTGAGCTCCGCTCGCAGTTGATGGACCAGTCACGGGCGTTCCAGGCCGCGGCGTCCGAGCATCGGCTGGCGCTTGTCGAGCGCGTTCCGCGCCGCCAGCTCGACGACGCCAACGCTGCTCTCGCCCGCGCCTCGCAGCGCGCCGCCGACAAGGATGCCGCTGTCGCCGACGCGCTCACCAAGCTTGCCGACGCCGAGGCCGCGCTTGACGCCACACGTGTCGCCGCCAATGTCCAGGCCGAGCTCGTCGAGGGCTACAAGAACGGCTCAACTGCCAGTCTCGTTGAGGAATGGGCTTCCCAAGTTACTGCGCTGCGTGTTGAGCAGCTCGCCGGCGAGCGGCACCGCGAGCGAGTCCTTGCCGAACTGGCATCCGCTCGCGCCGATGCCGCCGAGAACGAGACGCGCCTCGCTGCCGAGCAGGAGCTCCGTGTCAAGCTTGAAATGCAGCTGGAGGCTGCCAAGGCTCAGGCTGCCACCGCCGGCCATGCCCATCTCGCCAACATGCAGAGCAAGGACCGCGAGCGCGACATCATCCTGATGGCCATGAAGACCTCGGCCGCCAAGTTGGGCGAGCTCGACCCGTCCATGCCGGCCTCCCGTCAGCTCGACGAGGCGCGTGCCCAGCTCGCGTCGGCGTCGGCCGCCATTGCCGAGTACTCGCGCATGATCGACGAGCTCGATGCAGCGCTGGTGGGCTCTGGAAAGCAGGTCGCCAGTCTTCGCGCGGCTCTCCTCGACAAGGACGTGGCCCTGTCCGAGGCAAACGCCAAGCTCAAGGCCAGACACGCCGACGAGGCCCACGGCCGCGCTCTCGCTGCCGAGGCTGGCAACGGTGAGGGTGATCCTGCCACCGCGCGCCAGCTAGCGCTGGCCCAGTCTTCAGTCAACACACTCGAGGCACAGCTTCAGACCAAGGACAAAGCCCTCGACGAGCTGCGTGCTCTCCTCGCGTCGACGAGAAGTCAAGCGATGAAGCAAAAGCAGGCCGACGACGAGACCATTGCTGCGCTGCAAACAAAGGTCCTCGACGCGTCGGACGCGTCGTATGCCAAGCTCCAAGAGCTGGTCAACCAGCTCAACGTCGACGAGACCAGACCCGACTCGCGCTCGCCTTCGCACGCCATGCCACCCTCGCTAGAGGCCCTGTTGCATGCAAAGAACGAGGCGCTCAACCAGTCAGCTGCTGCGTACGCGCAGCTCGCCAACGAGTTGGAGAGCGTCAAGAAAATGGCCGATCGGCGGGCGAGCCAGATCGAAGAGCTCCTCACCTCGCACCGGACCGCCATGGAGGAGGTCCGTGGCCTGCATGCCTCGGAGATTCGCTCGCTCCAGGCCGAACTTGCCGCACAGCGGCAGCAGACTGCCGAGCTGCGGTCGGCACTGCAACGCGAGTCGTCAGCGGCGGCGGCGGCTCCGCCGTCGTCGCTCAAGCACACTGTGAGTGCGCTCCGCCGCGAGCTGGCCGACAAAAAGCGCGCAATCCGCGAGCTTCGTGCTGAGCTGGTCAAGGCCGAGACATCGGCGCCGCGGGCCGAGCTTGCCGCGTCCAAGGTCTCGGTCTCGGTCAAATCGATGGTGGCACAGCAGACAACCGAGCTGCAGGCCAAGATTGACGGGCTGGAAGCCGCCATGGCCCGCGCTGCGTCGGCGGCCAAGGCCAACAAAGACAAGGCCAAGAGCTACCACTCGCAGGTCCGGGTTCTCGAGTCCAAGCTCGGTCGACTCGAGGGTGAGCGCGCCACCATGGCGCGCGAGATGAAGGAGATGGCCACCGCTTTCAAGGCTCGCGAGCGTGAGCTCGCAGCCAAGCGGGCCTCGATGCGCGACGAGATCGAGGCCTCCGTCCGCCGCGACCGCTCGTCTGGCGACGCCGACATTCAGCGAGTTGCCCGTCTCAAGCAACGAGTCGCCGAGAAGGACGGCGTCATTGCTGAGCTTCGTGACCAGCTCACCCGTGCCAGCAAGCGCATCCGCAAGCTTGAGCTGGAGGCTAAGGCTGCTGAGGAGCAGATGGCGGCCGCGCGCGAGCGTGAGGCACAAGCTTCACGCTCGCGGAGCAAGTCGAGCGACAGTCGCGGCGGAGGAGGGGACGACGATCCGCCACCATCGCGCGAGCCGGCAAAGCGTCGCCCCGCCACCCGCCGGCCTTCGAGCGCGACGAGCCGCCCAGACTCGCGGTCGGCCGCTGAGAGCGCGGCGGCTATGGCGCAGTGGGAAGCAAACAAGCGCTGGCAGCGCAAAGAAGCCGCACTCAAGGACAAAATCAAGTCGTCGGCGGCGACCATCGACTCGCTCGAGTCGCAACTTGTCGGCCTCAAGGAGACCGTGACCAAGATGGAGCGCGAGAAGGCGCGGCTGGCAGCCAAGCTTCGCAAGCTTGGTGGCGGAGCGCGGAGCGAGGAGCGACCCAAGTCGGCCAGCATCAAGTCGGCCCAAGCACTGCACGACCTCCAGGCCGAGGTCTTTGGCCTTACTGCTCGGCTCGAAGAGGAGGCACTGGCAAAGCAAGGTCTCGAGTCTCAGGTTGCGGAGCTCCGGCTCGAACTTGAGCTCCGCGAGGCCCGCGACGACGACGCGGTACTCGTCGGCGTGGCACCGAGTGTATCGGCTTCTGGAGATACAGCTGAGGCGGAGTGGCACGCTCGGGTTGTCGAGCTCGAGGCCGCCAAGCGTGCGCTTGAGAAGGAGGTGCTGGAGGTGACCAACGAGGCAACCGAGCTGCGGTTCGAGCTTGCGCAGAAGACCGAGTCGGAGCCGCGGCTCCGGGAGCGCATCGCTCAGCTCGAGGACCACGTGGCGCTGCTGAAGGCGTCCGGGGCTGTCATTGCGTCGGCAGACTTGTCCAGCTCGGGAACAGGCTCCAAAGCTAGCAAGCTCGAGTCGGTGGTTCTCTCGCAGAACAGGGTCATCGAACAGCTCAAGGCCGAGGTGGCGAGCGCCAAAAAGGCTGGTGCGTCTAACGTCAAGTACATGGCCCTTCGCAAGGCCCACCGTGAGCTCAAGGGCAAGTACGACGAGCTTGAGGCCGCCTACCTCCCACTGAAGGAGAAGGAGGAGCTTGTCTCCGCCGCCGCGTCCAAGGTCAAGCGCCTGGCCGCCGAAAACGCCAAGCTGACCAAAAAGGTCAAGAGCCTCACCGCCGACGCCGCTGCGCTCAAGGAGGCCAACATCGAGCTGCGAACCCAGACCGGCGTCCTCGAGGCCGACGCGCTCGCCGCCCGCAACGCGCTCGAGTCGCTTCAGGCCTCGGCCGAAGACGACACCTGCCGCGCCCGCGCCCTCCTCGATCGACAGGAGCACGAGCTCCACGCACAACTCGAGGCCAAGGAGGCCGCGCTGGCTGCCGCGCAGGCCGACATCGCCTCGCTCTCCACTGTCAAGTCACAGCTGGAGACCCAGCTCGCCCGCGCCCGTGACGACATCGAGGCCTACCAGGCGCTCAACGGCGGTGCACGCAACGCCGACGCGCTGCTCAAGATCGAAAAAGAGAACCGCGCACTCAAAAAGCGGGTCTCGGTCCTCAACGACCGCACGTCGGTGCTGGAGAAGGACCTCACCGCCTCGCTCGGTGGCGAGCAGCTACCAAGCGTCGAGTCCAAGGCTACCGAGGCATACGACAAGCTGCAGCATACCTATCACGCTGCACTGGAGCAGATGGCGCAGCTCGAGCGCGAGAACGAGGCTCTCCGCCTCGAGCTCGACGCCTTTGACCCAAACTTTTTCGACGAGCTTGAGGAGCTCAAGTACGCCTACCGCTCCGCCGTCAAGAAGGTTGCCGAGTACGAGAAGCAGATGCGTCTTGCGCAGCGCCAGTATGGCATCGCCTTCTCGGGCCTGGACGACGACAGTGCCTAAGCCCGTCTAAACAAACCTACGCCCAAGCCAGAGGCGGGTGCTAGTCCATACCTGCCTCATCTCCCAGATCACGTCCGTGGCCATGACAATCGACACCGTCAAACATCGCCTTCATGTGCCAAGTCATTGGACCTCACACATCGCGCATCATCAGCGCTTCGCAGTGCGGTGCTCTTCTTGCTGTTGTTCCTGTGCTAGCCTCGCATTGACCGCTTTGTCCCGGTACTCCGCCGCTCGGCAACGTTCGTGGCAGCAATTGCGGCTCAGTATGAACAAACATCGTGGTTGGCTCCACCGCACTCTTTCTGTCCCGCTCGCGCCTACTCGCGCCTACAATCAAGCCTTCCCTCTATTCAACATCTTGTCCAACGCCATGCTGCTCAAGTGGATGAACGGGTGGGAGCGAGTCCTCTTTGTCGCTATTGTGCTACTTGCCTTTGCTGGCAACGTGTTCAATATGGTCATCAATGGCCGCAAATTGGTCGAGGCTCGCGATCGGCCGGTGACAACCGCATCCTTCCGTTCCCGCACCAAGGCTCCAGACGGAACTTTCCTTACCACATGCTCGCTCAATCCGCTCGATCCAATGGTGGCCGGAATATGCGAGAAGAACTTGTACATGCCTACTGGCGAGTCAGCTCCCGATGGCACGCCGCTCGTCGCCTTTGTTCCCACGTCTGTTCCGTGCAACGAAGTGGCCTACACGTATTTTGGCTTTTCCTGCATCGATTATCCGCTTGCAGACGTCTTCCCTAGCGCCACCAATCCGACCTTCTCGTTCTCGATCCGCGGCTCGACTCAGTTGTGCTTCAACGACAAGGCCAGATGTGGCACGACCGCTGTGTATGCCATGATCCGTTCCGCCGACCAGGAACTCGCTTCTTCGACAACACTAGCGGCCTTTAAGCCGCTCCCGCTGCCGACGCACGGCACGGCCTTCTTGCACATCGGCATGTCAACCATACAGAGGCTCCATCAGAATGCCATCACCAGCTTCCCTCTCTCCGCCACCGTCATCCGCTCGTTTGAGCAAGAGCCGTCGCCAACTCTGCGGAGCTACACCAACGCCTCTTTCGGCATCACCATCGACCAGTTCTCGTGGGATCTCGACGAGATTGTAAGGACTGAGACCATTGTGTTCGACATTTTCGATGCCCTCGCCTCGCTCGCCGCCATCGCTTCGGTCAGTGTGGGTATCATCTACTACTTTTACCCGTCGTCGCTCAAGACGCCTGTCCACTTTCGCTTCGGTTCTCGCCGTGCGTACGAAAAGGCCATCCACTCGGTGGCTGCCGCGGAGGCGGGAGTTCTTGTCGTGGGAGGCGCCCCTCACTCTCATCGCCGCTCGTCGGTCATACCCGTACATGTCAGCGACTCGGATGAAGCCGATTCCAATGACAACTCCAAGATCATTGTCACTCGCATTGCAGACCAACGCTCGAGCTCCTCGAGCACCAACGACGCAGCCACCGCCATGTCATCAATCCGGCCCAATAGTGGAGTCCGGCGTGGTAGCAGTATCGTTTAAAATGGCTGCACTACAGCCAATTACGGTCGCGACATCGCCGAAGTTCCCGATACGGCTACCCGAGCCGTTGCTGCGTCCCACACCACAATGCCGAGCGCTGCGCCGCGGCTCCGCAGTCGCGCAACAATACCGACTTCTTCAGAGTCGATGGCTGAAAGCCCCTCCGATGATGACGACGCGGACGACCGCAGTTGCGACTCCGCCACAGGATCCACCGTCATCCACGACGTCGCACCAGGCGCAATGTCGCCCACAGACGACAAAAGCTTGGTCGTCGCCGCGTTCGACGGTAGCGAAGTATCGCGAACTGCGCCCAGGTCGATGATCAGATCGCCTGCTGGCGGCCTGCGCCAGTCAGCGCTCCAGTCGAGCAGCCCAGCCCGACTCAAGTCGTTACCGCCGACCGCGAGGTAGCTCAGCTTGAAGTTCTCGTGATGCAGCGCCTCGTTGATCCATCCCAGACTCGCATCCGTCAGCGAGCACCGCGACACGTCCAGCTTCATGATGAAGCTTGTCGGAGACCGCAACAGGATGCACACGCTCCGCATGGACCGCTCGGTCAGCTTGTTGCCGGCCAGCGAGAGCTCCACCAGCTGGTTCTTGCCGAGGCTCAGCACGTTGGTCAGCGACGAGAGCGCCAGGTCCGACACTCCAATCGAGTCGAGGAAGAGCGACGTGACGCACGGCGACGACTTGGCCTCCAGCATGTGGATGAGCGCGTCGCACGACTTGTCGCGCTTACGCGACGACAGCATATTCTCGCCCACGTCGAGAACCGTCATTCGCAGCCCGGCCTGACCCACTGCATTGAATACACTGCTGAACCCGGCGTCCTTGATCCCACAGCCCCGTAGGCCAAGCCAGGTCACCACCGCATGCGGCGATGTTAACGCTCTTGCCACAGCTGCCGCGCCCTTGGGCCCAATAGGGTTTCGCGAGAGCTCGACTTGCGAGAGCAGAGAGCCTGGTCGCGCAATCAACTGAGCCACGAGCACAGCGCCGCGCGACTTGATAGCGTTGCGCCCGAGCTCGAGCCGGACAAGCGGGCACTCGGCCTGCTTTGCCGCAGTGACCAGGACCTCGACGTCATCGTCAGTCACTCCGCACTCGGTGAGGTGCAAGACCGTGAGCTTCCGCATCAAGCTTGCAAGTGTCGACGCAAACTTGCCGGTCAGTGCCTTACGCCGCTTACGCGGCAGCCGTAGCACACCCGGCGTAAAGCTCAGATCGAGTGACTGCAGCGCTGAGCCCAGACCGACGCTTTTGTCATCGCCCGGCATCAGCCACTGTGGCGTCAACTTGTTGTCGACTAGTGAGAGGACTTCGAGCGGCGACTCCGCCGCATGGAGAACCGGTACCAGCCACTGCGCATGGTCGTCGGTCAGCTCACAAGCCACCATCTGCATGTTCAAAAGCGTACTGTCCGCCGCCATCAGCGCCTCGCCTAGCTGCCGGACCGCGCCCTCGCTCACTTTCACCCGCATGCAGTTGAGCGAGTGCGCCGACGAGTGGCAGAGAACAGGCGCCAGCTCTGTCATCAACGACTCGCTTACTTCGACATTGCAAAGCACCACGTCCGTCACCCAAGACCGCCGATCCTGCAAGCTCGTCAGCATCCGCAGAAATCCAGCCTTGTCGAGTAGAACCTGGTTTGTCACGTGCAGCCGCCGGATCCGTTCTGAGAACTCCACAAGCACCACAAAGACCGCAAGATCCTGTCGGAGAAGTAGCTCAGTCCGCGCCAGCCCAGGCAGCACGTGCCGCGACACAAGCTGTACCGCACGTTGAGGCGTCATCAGCCCGCGCGTCTCATCCAGCCACTCGACCACCCGGGCGACGTCGCCCAGTGGCCCGCCGCTCGGCGCCGGCTGACAGTCCGCCGGCGCACTCCATCCTGGCTCGCTCGTCCGCGACATCGAGCCACCTTCGGCGTACCATGTTGCCGACGCCCGCCCACAGCTGAACATCTGCCACAGCAACGTGTGCATCTCGCCCAGCGCGTCGAGATCAGTTCCGACGAACGCAGAGGGTGACAGGAACATAAACTCTTCCTCTTCCTCCGCACCGCTCAACACCTCGACCGTGAGCACCTTTCCAAGCGTACCCGCGGTAACAGCCTCACGGATTGGCCGGCTTATCTGTGACCGCGAGTCCAATTCGACCGTCAGCGGCGGCAGCCCGGCAAGCACCTGCACCAGTCGCGTGTCTGACATTGTCCGCCACTTACTCAGATCCAGCACCGTCTGAGGCTTCGCCTCATCCAGCCGCATCACCCGCAGACGCGTGAGCGAGGCGAGCGAGACCACCAGCAGACCCGGAGCATCAATCGCCACGCACTCCAGCTGCGGACACCACGCGAGCTCGAGTGTTCGCAATGCCGGGAGGCAGAGCGGGACGACCGCCGTCCGCGTCACTCCAGACTTGGCAAAGCTAGTAAGCGAGCTCACTCCTACCAGGGTCACCGTCGTCAGCGCCATAGCATTGGCATCCGACGACAGCGCCCGGACAAGCGAGTTGCGCGGCAGCGAGCCCGATGCCAAACAGAGCCCATGCAGCAGAGAGGAACTGCTCGACGCCCGCCGCAGCTTGGCCATCATCGCTTGCCGTCGGCTCTTTTCGCCAAGAAGCGCAAAGAGACGCGACGGCGTCTCCGGAATGCCGAGCAGGGCCAACGATGAGAGCCGAGACTCGGCACCAAGCACGCCAGCGAGTAGCACCATGAGTTCGTCGGTGACCGGCTGCGCCAGCGACGCTACCAATTCAACCAGAGCCACGCGGAGCACAGCATCTGCCGCTAGTGCCTTGCCCAGCACCGCGCCGATCTGGCGAAACTCGAGCGTCGTCTCTGTCTCCCTCTCAGGCGGCTCGTCGACTTCTGATGGGTACGTGTCCGTGTCGGTATGCGACTCGCTCCGACCTTGATGCTCAGCTCATCACCGATCACCGTAGCGCCGCGCATTCGCACCGTTCGAGCCTCGCTTCCTCCAAACAGCGAGAACGTCCGGTCGCGTGCGTGCTGCTCCACCGGGCACTGGCTCGAGACCGCATTAATGCTGGCCGTGTTTGCCCGCAGCCGCGAGCTTTGTGGCGTGAGCGACTGCGGATTCACCACAGCATCGCTTTTCCCGCCATCAAACCCGCCGAGCCGAGCGTTGCAGAAGATCGCGGCGAGAAAGCCATCCATGGCTTCGCCAATCTGTCCTCGAGTCAGTGTCGCTAGCGTCGACTGCATAAACCCGACAAAGACCGTCACATCGTGACCTAGCGGCGCACGCTCCTTGGTCAACACAGTCGCGATCTTGGAGTGGTCGGTCGGGAGATCAGTAACGACCGTGTCGAGTCCGACGCCAGTCACTAGCGCCGACGGGTGAGTCACCAGCGCGTGCCTGAGCGCAGTGTGGACAAAGCGCAGGTCAAGGCCTCGCGGATGGAGCCGCTGCATCAGCCGTACAAAGGTAGCCACATGCTGGAATGGTGGGATGACAGAGGTCAAAAGCTGCAGCTTGGTCAGCCGCAGCGGTTGAGCGTGTAGCAGACGCTTGATCTGGTCGAGCACAATCAGCATCCAGCTCACAGCCTCGCTCGCTTTTTGAGCGATTGTCCCGCGCTGCAAAGTCCGGATACTCGCTGGCGGCAGCACGCTCACATGGGTACAAATGCCGACTAGAAGCCGGACCTGACTCGCGACGCTTGCAGCCATTTTCAGCCACATCTCGATCAGCTCACTTGCTGGCAGCCGGAGCAGGTCCTGGATAGTGAGCAAGTCAATCGGCCCGTCAGCATGCTCAGCCGTGAGCACGAGTGCCAGTCCATTCGAGAGGAGCGGGAGGTACGCAGGATGCGCGCTGCCGCCGCTGATTGCAGGCTGCGCGCGCGTAAAGACCGGCCACCGAGCCAGCGTCCACATCAGCCGGCCGTCGCTTGTCCACACATAGTCGTCCAGACCAAAGCCCGAGCACGCTGTCAGGAGCGAGACAAGGAGGTGCCGAGTGTGCTCTTGTGCAGAGAGAGAGTCAGGCGCCCATCGCTGTGCCTCGACCACATCGGTCTGAGCCCCGTTGGCCACCATCTTGATCGAGCCAGAGAAGCTCAGCCGCGACTCGCGCCGCACCCTAGCCCTCGCCGAGATCCCATCGCCAGCATCGTCCACGGTCTCGGCGTCATCCACGGTCTCAGACACATTTCCGCTGCCGCTGGCCATGCAAGCCTCATCGAGAGACTCGAGCTCCAGGTCGGCATCATCTACAGCCTCGGAAGGCAACCTGGCGAGACTAGACGAGCTGCCACCAGCCGCCAGCGACGCCGTGGCAGCCATCATGCCGGCATCCTCAACAGCCTCGCCCATTGTGGGCGAGGTCGACGCCTCCATAATCTGGTCATCAGAGCTGCGCAGGCCGATGCTCGCCCGGCTTCCAGCCGCACCGAAAACGCCATCGAGCTCCGGCGGCTCCGGCGGAGGCTTGCCACCGAGCGGGCTAGCAACTTGAAAGGCCTCACAGACAAGCCATGTCGAGAACTGCGACGTCGCCTCCTCCCACACGATGGCAGCCTCAACTCGCTGGACCGCACCGTGGAAGAGAATCTGAGGCAGAGCGGCGGCAGCCAGCTGCATGGACAAGTTCGGCAGCTCGGGCTGCTCGCACGAGTCAAGCTCGACAAAGAACAACGGGCCGAGCTGGATGGCCGTTGTGCTGCTGCCGAGTGCTACGGCAGGTGCACGCTCGACGAGCGCCTGTGCGAGTGACAGCTTGAGCACACCACAGACCGGAACAGAAGACACCGACGAGGTCATCCAGAACGTACCGCGCCGAAGCGTGTCGGCGCTCGGCGGCAGAGCGGCCAGCGCGGTCTCCGGATACGGCGCCGGAACGGTCCGCGAGCAAAGAAGGAGCAAGTGGTTCCACCGCGCTGCGTGCAGCGGGAGCGGTGAGTTGAGCGGCGATGCTGGCGATGCGTTTGGCACGCTGCTCACGTGCGGCAGCATGACGAGATAGCGCTCTGCAAGCGCAGGTGGGATGAGGTCGATGTGCCGAATACAGTGCGCGGCGACAAGGGCGTGGAGCGGCTCGATGACGCAGCGGGTTAGGGCGGCGAGCTCCTCGTCGTCGACGGGGTCCATCTCGAGGGGCGCGCCCGACTTGCGCCCGACAGCGCGACTGGCTCTCCCGCTCACTGACGGATTGAGCGTCGGCGCGTTGGCCCTCACCACCGAGTCAGACTCGTGCCCGATCCGATTGTGGATAGACGACCGAAAGTTGAAAATCCACTCGATGGCGTACGAGAGAGTGATGCCAAGGTCAGTGTGGATGTGCTTCTCCTCCATGAGCTTTTCGATGCGGGCGTAGGTGTTGGCATCGGGAATGCGGAAGAAAAGTGCCAGGCCGTCGAGGAGACACGAGACAAGCCGACAGAGTGCGCTCTTGACGTCAATGACCGCGCTCCTATCAGAGTCGGGAGCAAACGACGCCGCGAGGCCATCGGGGGTAAAGGCCTTCAGGTTGGCCACCAGGTTAAGAATCGCAAACTGCTGGGTGGCCACGACAGACTCGTCGAGGACAGTGCGGACAGCGTTGGCATACTCAAAGTACAGCGACTTGGAGCCTGAGAGGTAGGCGGCGGTCCGCAAGCCAAACGTCTCGGGATCGACGTCGTGTCCGGCACGGAGGTCCGTCATGGCCTCGCGCTGGCGCTGGGCGAGTGCCTCCGGTGTGAGGACAAACGTGTTGGAGCCCGAGAACGGACCCTCGTCCATGCGGAAGCCGTGGACAACCGGCGAGGAGATGCCGTTGCCCATGTCGACAGGCGACTCGCCAAGGGCGGTGACCATGAGATCAAGAACCTCGGCGAGCGATGTAAAGTATGCACTTGCAGCTGGCGACGACTCGCGGACCACAACCACCATGTCGAGGTCCGAGTACGGACAAAGCTCGCCGCGGGCGAGCGACCCGAGGCCCAACACAGCGTACTCGACTGGCGGCGAGCCGAGCATACGCACAATATCCTGCAGAATGTCAGCGATGAGAATCGACATGAGCGCCGAGAGCAGCGACGTCCGGGTTGCGGCCTGCGACCCTGGCACAAGTGCCGCGTCATTCGAGCCTACCGGGACGGTGTAGCCAAGAAGCTCGCCAATGCGGTCGGCGAGCGTCTTGAACGGCGCGTCGACGCTTGGCTCGAGCTCGGCAAATTGGCTGTAGCCAGTCTGCGCTGCCTCGCCAAACACCCGCCGCCGCACAAAGGCCAGTCGGCGCGCGTACTGCGCCCACCGTGCCGACGCACAATAGTCGGCAAGGGCGAGTGAGATGGCGGCCGCGCGGTACCGCCTGCGGCGGAGGAGGCCGAGAACCCTCACGAGCGCGCGGAGGGCGTCGTCCTCGGTATCGGCTTGCGCCAGCGCGCTGTAGAGCCGCTTGACGAGCTTGCGCTCTGTCACGGTAAACCGATCGATCTGCTCCGGGCGAAAGAGGAAGCGCGAGACCATGTGGGCCGTGCGGAGCGCCATCGAGGTCTGGCCAAACTGGACAAGCCGAAGCGCAAACTGGAGGGCGCGCGGCACAATGGCCCGCGACGCCGATGCCGTCCGCGTAGCAACCGGGGCCAGCTCGCGGCGGAGGCTGGCCAGCTCGGCGTCGAGCGCGGCCGGCGCCCGTGGGACGACGCAGTACGCGCGAAAGGCGCCGTGGATCAGCGCGAGCGCGGTCTTGGTGTGCGGCCATTGCCAGAGCGAGGCCGTCCGAACTTCGGCCATTCGGACGCGGGCAGGGACGGCGTCGAGCGCTTCGTCCATGAGGCGGAGAGCAGCAATCTGATGTGAGATGACAAGCTTGCAGACGGCCATTGTTTCTGGCAGAGGAGCCACAGCAGTGTCCTTGCCGACACCGCTGTCAACGTCAGGCGCCGTGTCGCGGAGCCGGCGGGCGCGAGCCTCGAGCAAACAGAGCACGTGTGCGCCATGGACCACATACAACGTGGCCTCGAACGCGGCAAGCTCTTCCCGGCTGCGCGGCAGCTCAGCGCCTCCGTCGTACACCCCACCAGGGCTGACGAGGAGGCGCAGCGCGCGGGCGAGAAAATGGGTGCCGAGCGACAAGTTCATCTCCCCACCGCCGAGCACAGTCTCGGCCTCGGTCGGAACAACAACGTCACAGAGAAGGCTGCCGAGCATCTCCAGCAGTGAGCACGCCACTTTGCCGAGCTCGCGGCCGTGGCGCGAGAGGTTGAACAGGAGGATTCGGCCAATGATCTCATCGAGCACGCCCTCGAACACCCGCAGAAGCACAGTCCTCGGCTTGAGCAGAATGAGGGCGCGAACAAGGATCCCGACAAGGCCGATAAGCTTGGGAAGTGCCGACGCTAGGGTGCCCGGTTCCTCGGTGAGGCGCACCTCGTCCCACAACTGCTCGAGATCATGGAGCAGGGCTTCAGGGCTTGCTTGCCCGCTACGGCCAGGGCCGGAGGCCCAGGGATTGACGAGCGAACTCTGCCGCCGCAACAGAGCGTCGGCGGAGCGGAGGACCGAGAGCATCCGGGTGACCGGCGGCCGGAGAAGCGGGTCGGGCTCAAGAGCATTCAGCACAGCCTCCTCGAGACTCTCTGGGAGGTTGAGCTCCACAAAGCGAGTGACGACATCGTCCGAGATGCGGGTGTGCGGCTCGGCAATGCGGGCGGCAGTCGCGTCGCCGTCAAACACCGAGGCGAGCGTGAGGACCTCGATAATGGTTGCGCCGAGCGCGTAGACGTCCGAGGCCTCGTCCCCGGCGGCAACGTCATCGGCGAGGAGCACCTCGGGCGCGCAGTATCTCGGCGAAATTTGCCGCGCGTGCTCGGCAACCGAGGCAAAACCAAATTCGCCTAGGCGAACCTCGCCAGAGGTGGTGATGAAGATGTTGGCCGGCTTGATGTCGTAGTGGAGGACCGACTCGGAGTGGAGGTAGTGCAGGGCGCGGGTGACGTGGTACATCATAGTCATGCGCTCGTCTAGCTGCGGCACGCGCGCTGGAACGCTGAGCAAATCGGCGAGCGAGCCCCCGCCGGCGAGCTCGGTCACGATGCCGACCCGACCGTCGCCGTTGGTCGTCGCCCCGAAGAATCGCAAGATGTTCGGGTGCGAGAGCGAGAAGAGCGGGAGCATGCTGTTGGCCACATCGCCGGCCGACACCCCCGGCTCGAGGAGCTTGACCGCGTACGGCGTGGCCTGGTACTCAATGCTGAGGACCGTGCCAAGCTCGCCCGAGCCAAGTTCGTCGAGCACAGCGATGTCGCTCCAGTCAAACGAGCCGAACGCCGAGAGCGCCGTGAGCGACGATCCGTCCGTCGAGTCGTCACCAAGCGACATGTCGACGTCGTCAAGACTCATGCTGCCGAGCGAAGCAGGCTCAATCATAATCGAGCTTTCCATAGGGTGGGTCTCGTCAAAATCGAGGAGGGAGAAGGCTTCTGCCGAGAGGGAAGCAAACGCAGAGGTATTTCCGACTGTCCGGCCCAGACTTGCCGACGTTTGCGAACCAGCTCCCACTCCAAAGCCAGCACCTAGATTTTGCCCAAACAAAAGAGGGCTTGGCGATGATGCCGAGAACGAACGGGGTGTATTTGAAAGGCTTGGGCGTCGTTGCGGCCCAAGTCCACCGCCAGGCATGCCGCCAGCGGACGCTACCGAGGGCGGCCGACTGAAGCGGTGGCTTGCCATCACACTACAGACGGAACACCGGACAACTCGGAGGTGGGCTAGAGCAAGCAGGAAGTTGGAATTTCCCGCAAGAAAATGGGGGAGGGAGGGAGGGGGTAGCTAAGGGGGAGATGTGGGGAAGGGCGGAGGGGGGTGAAGAGTGTGGCTGTGGTGGTGTACAGCGGACCCGCACTAAAGGGGCGAGGAGAGGTATCGCGGTCGCATCGGCTGAGTTTCGCCGGCGAATGGCACAAAAAAAGGCCGCGCCGCAAAAAGGGGGGGAGGGCGAACAGCGACGAACCGGCGGCGTTCAGAGCAGAGTGTCGCATGGGAGATGGGGGAAAAGGAGATGTGATCGGCCAGAGTTTGGGGTGGCACTACAAGAGGAGATGACTTGCGCAGCCTGCGCTGATGTGGACGGCAGAGAGTGTGCAGTCTCACGAGAGAGTTCTGCACGACAGCAGCTGTTTCCAGAGGGCTACGACGATGGATCGGCAGCTTAGGGATCAGCCGAGGCTGTGGACTCGGCCGAGGCTGTGGGCTCCGCCGAGGGTCCAGCAATGCGCTCCTCAAAGATCCAGCAGCCCTTGGCGGCATGATCAGCCTCAGCGACGATAAAGCCGACGATCTTTGCGACGGGAGTGGGGCAGTCCGGGCAGACAAGGAAGCGAGAGACAGGCGGATCATGGTCATCAACTCCGTGAGCTTGTGTGAGGGTGTTTGAGACACCGATGTTGAAGAAGCCCATGACATCATCCAGACGAACGCCGTTCGCCACCGCCACCACGCCGTCCTCGGCCTCGGCATCGGGCAAGGTCGTCTCGAGCCGAGTCAGACTCCCGTCGCCCGCCGCCAGCAGCATGCACCCACACTGCTTGCACTTGGCATCATAGCTGTTGCTCGTATCCGCCATTCCTGCTTGTTGCCCAGTGTGAGGTGTGGCCTCGTGGAGTCGTCGCTGTCGACCGCGCTCTCTCGCCTAAAGTGGCGGCGGGTGGCGGCCACAAAGCGGGCTTGGGAGAAGAAGGCGGACGTGGGAGGAGAGGAGGAGAGGGGAGAGGGCTGGCAGGGAGGCCATGTATGACAAGAGCATCCCATCGATCCATCGATCCATCGATCCATCGATCCATCGATCGATGCCCGGGTTCTGGGTTGATGGTAGATAGGCTGTGCAACTTGCCGATACCGTCGCAGCTGATGAGCAGGTCGATAGCCGGCAGCGGGGTTCGATCGGGCTGCTGATGCCGGGTTGGAGATGGGCCAGAGGGGAGAATGTGTGAGGGGGGGGGGGGGGATCACCTGAATCCGCCTCGGTCATCGTTGTCTGCGGATCGCAACCGAACGAAGCGCTCAAAGTGCTCAAGTTCAGTGGCGACGTCGTCAGCCTCGGCCTCTGCCTCGGGTGGCGCTGACACACCACTCGAACCAGTCATCCACCCATGCTGAGGAGTGTACGGCGGATGGTTACACCATGTATGGTGGGCGGAGGATGGAGGTGGGCGGCAAGTGGGCGGGCCGTGTCTGGGCTGGCGAGTGGCGGGTTGGCCTGTGGGCGAAGCTTGCGGCCGTGTCGGGCGCAAGAGACGATGGTCGGCGAGCTGTTTGCGATCGATGGCCAGACGCCGATGCCGTATGAGCCAACGCTGGCGGTGCAAGATGCGATGCGTGCCGCGGTATGGCGTGGTGAGATGGGCAAGATGCTGCTGCTCGAGCATAGCCCGGTCTACACCCTTGGCGTCCGATCACGGAAGACTGAGCTCTCGGAAGAGATGGTGGCGGCGGCGACGGGTAAGCCGGCGAATGTGGTCCGCATCCGCCGTGGTGGCCAGATCACCTACCATGGTCCCGGTCAGCTAGTGGGCTACCTGCTGGTCGATCTCCGCCAGCACGGCGGCTCGGCCAAGTGCTTCATGCATGCGCTCGAGCAAGTGGTTATGGACGCCACCGCCTCGGTGACTGGCATCGTGGCCGGGCGCAACGCCGATCATCCGGGCGTCTGGGTCGGCGGTCGCAAGATTGCTGCCATTGGCGTCTCATTCTCAAAACACGTCTCGATGCACGGCTTTGCGCTCAACGTCGACAACTCAGACGGCCAGCTTGACAACGCATTCGGCGCCATCGTCCCGTGTGGCATCAACGACCCTGGACTCGCCGTCGCTTCACTCGACGATCTGGTCGCTGCAGAGCCTGCCGCTACGGCTGCCGTTGCCGCTGCTGGTCGTCCGCTGAAGGACGCGCTGCGGTCTGCGCTGGTACATGCTGTGGCGGGCGAGTTCAATCTCGAGCTCAGAGACAGCCTCGGGCCGCTCGCCGAGAGCCATCGCGGCGACGGCGCCGGTCTTGCCGCCGCCCTCTGCCATCGGTTTAGTCCACCACCAGCATAATGCCCCCGACACTCGGAAGCAACGCTGCCTCAAGTCATGTCTCTCCGCTCAGCTGCTTGAGAAAGACGGTAAAGTCGACTTCCGTGTCGAGGAACGGAACCAGCTGCGGGAGCTTGTCCTCAAACGGCATTGGCGCACACGGCGTATATCCGAGCGCCGTGTACCACTTGGTTAGCTTGACCTTGTCAGGCATGACAAAGTTGCGCGGAGTGAGCAGCTCGAGCATCATGGTGCTGACACCCCAGGTGGCCGCAGCATGAGCTTCGGCGGCGTCAATGAGCGCGCGCCCGAGACCGGCCGACCGCGCCGCCGGCGCCACCGCGAGCATACCAAACTCGCCGACTCTGTCGCCATCATAGTCGACTCGCGAGACAGCGATAATGCCGAGAATCGGCCGTGCGCTCGCATTTCCTACCGCCATCAGTACCTGGGTCTCTGGCTTGTCGCCACGGATGAGACCCTCTATCTCGACAGCGGTGGTCCGCTGGAAACCTTGCTGCCACAGCCCGCGCTCGGCGACCACGTAGACGTCATTGACGAGGGCAGCCAGCGCGGCGGCATCGGCATCTACAGGTGCCCGCCCGATGGTGTACCCGTGCCGTGCCGCGTCAATGGTGTCGAGAACGGCGCCGAGCGCGTCAACCGAGTCATGGTCGACGCCGAGCGAGCTGTCGTCGGCAGTGACGCCACAGAGTGAGTTGGCAAAGTCGACCAACGCGACGGTGACGTCATCGGCGCAGCCGCCAGGCGCATACCCGATGAGGATTGAGGCTGAGAAGAGCTTGACCGAGTGTGTGGAGGCAAGTGCATCCCGGAGATCGCCAATCCGGCTCCGAATCTGCTTCAGCTGCCCCGCCGACGCCGAGCCGAGCAGATCGCCGGCGAGTGCGGCCGACAAGCTTGCCGGCGAGTCGAGCGACCTTCCGTACGCCTTGTCGCGAGTGACCCACGAGCCGTCGAGTCGCGGAGCGTGCAGGCCGAGCAGGCGAACGCCCAGCGTCGCCGATGTGGTGCCAAGCGCTTTGGCTGTCTGGATGGCGGTCTTCTCGGCCGAGGTTACGGCCAACGGCGCTGCTTCACGAAAGCCGAGTTTGCAATCAGCAAGCGCATACCGGCCGCCCAGCTCGCCGCGGAGGTCAGCCACGACGAGCAGCTCGGTTGTCGTCGTCTCACCGCTGGCCATGGCGACCGTCACCGGGCCGGCGGCAAAGCAGTCCGGGACAAAGCGAGCAAGGTCGGCCGGAGGAGATGGGCCCGTGAGATGAGCATAGAACGCGGCCTCGCGGGCATGGAGCGGCTTGGCAATAACTTGCACGGCCTTGTTGTCCACCACTATCTCACCTTGGAGAATGCCATCGTGTCCAGCAAGCTGCTGCTCACAACGGCGAGCACCGGTGAGGACAACGTGGACGTCGGCCATGCGGGAGGCAGAGACAGATGCTGAGGAGGAGCGGCTGCTGGCAGAGCAGGCTCAAGTACGGTGTTTACACACAGGAAGGTGGTTACATGGAGAGGAGCCAGTCGGCTTCGGCGTCCATGAGGGTCTTGAGGTTGGCGGCAACGGCGTTGGCATGGGTGGTGACGAGCTCGACCGAGGCGGCGTCCGAGGCGTTAAAGTCGGCGGCAGCGCTACCGAGCTTGCGGGCGGACGAGTGAAGGGCCTTCGCCCCGGCCTTGAGGGCCGAGGCATGGTCGCCGGCCTGCGAGTAAATCTTGCGCACCGACTCTGCCCATTCCTTGGCGGCCTTGGTCACCTCGAGGGTCTTGTCTGCAAAGGGCGCCGAGCCAAAGTCGATGGGCTCGTCGCGGTGGCCGGCGACGGCCTTGGCGGCCTTGGCCGAGTGCTTGATGGGGTCCGAGTTGTCGGCCCAGATGTTCTTGGCCGTGGCGTTGTCGGCAACGCCATCCTTGACCTCGCGGTAGCGCTGGTGGATGTACTTGGCGGCGGCGCCAAGGTCCTTGTACGCCTTGGTCAGCGCGTCGAGCGAGGCGTCGGCAGCGTCGGCGTCGGCCGCGGCGGCAGACTCGGCGGCAGGCTCGGCGACTCAATAG